CTCAGAGACGGCCTTCGAGAGGAGCCTGTTCCCGGGAAGCCCCCCTGTCCTGTCTGTCATCATCGGTGTTAACTATTCTCACATGAAGTAATGACGGGGATTGGGGCCGCTGCCATTTGCACCTTTGGGGGGAGAGTCTACATAATTGCTCATTTCCAAGCTGTATTAACTGATATCAATGTTTTAATTAACAGTATTTATAAAAATTAATATTATATCCCTATGAGGTAGACAAAGCAGAGAGTGTTGGCACTATCTCAGGGTGAGAAAGGGAGGTCCAGAGTGGTCGAGTGACCTTCCTGGGGTCACACAGCTGTCCATGGGACAGCATTTGACATGGCAGGGACCCCTGTCCTATCCCACACACAGAGAAGGGTCAGAGACAGCCAGCCCACTGGGGACATCAGTCTGTGAATGTGACTGCCACCCCCTTCACACACACAGGCTGGGAGGGCGCGGGAGCTGTAGGCAAATGCTGTGCTGTCAGTAAATGCAGATTAGAAGGTAAGGAGATAATGAGAGTGAACAGTTAGCCTTGAGAATGCCCTGTGAGCCAGGCCCAGGGGGATGGCTCTCCCTGCACCTCTCATTGCTCACGGGGCCCCTGAGGGCATAACTGTTATTTCCCCTTGCTCACAGGCCTGGAGAATCTGAACCATGACAGCTAGCAGGGAGTGGCCTTGGACTTGGACCAAGCTTTTGTTGCCAGAGAACTGGAATAATCACAGTTAATAATGACAACAGCTAACACATTGTCTATGAGTCTTGGTCCTTCAAGCAGCCAAAGCCAAGGGGAGATTAACTGTGCAAGATGTTTATTAGGGAAACACCTATGAGAGAATGGGGCCGGAGCCTGGAGAGGCTGGGAGGGAGGAGGTTCGTCCAATGGAGGCCCAACCCCGAGTCCAGGGGAGCAGAGAGCATCTCAGACTGCTTACAGTTCTGAGGGAGTTTGGCAAGGCCATGGGTCAGCCTGGACCAGTCACCCCTCACTGGAGCCCAGTGTCCCCCAGGAACCGGCCTGCCTTAGCGTTCCTGCTTGGTCACTGGTGGGAGCAGCTGAGGGGGCAAGGCCTTGGTGCAAACTGCAAACTCAGAGATAATTCTGGAGCTTTGGCTGGGTTCCCGGGTCAATCCTGCTCCCTGCATAGACCCGAGAGGCAGATTCTGATGGCCCCACACTGTGACACGTACTTTATGTGCATTTTCTCATTTAATTCTGAAAAAGGAACTTGAGAGCTAAGTACTATTAACATCCTCATTTTACAGATGATAAAAACCAAGTCCAGGGAGATCATGAAACTTGCCTGAGCTCACACATCGAGAAACGGGCTACATGGGGAAGGGAGGGAACTAAAGTCATCAGACAGCTCTGGTCCTTTTGCGCTGGTCCGTCACTCCATGCCCACCCTCAGAGCCATAGCAGGCTGCTGAGGTCACCGGAGAAGGGTGTGGTGGCCACTCTTCGAACCCCAGCACCTCTGCTCTCAAAATCCTGGCTCTGTCCATCACGCACTGTCTGTGGCTCTGCCCATTCTCACTTTGTCTAACTCCCAGAAACCGGCTTTTGTGCCCACTACAGAAAATATGCCAGCTAGAGCCAGAGGGGCGCATGAAGGTGGACCTGGTGTTGCAGGCAGCCGAGGCGCTCCTGGCATGCTGCGACGAAGCCCAGAAGCCTGCCATCCTGGCCCAGCTCAGGGACATCAAGGCCCAGTGGGAGGAGACAGTCACCTACATGACTCACTGTCACAGGTAGGGCTGCTGGGCACCTTGCCAGGGCTTTGTCCGCAGTTACCCCTGACCCTGCTTGCCCACCACCAAGCTGGCCTGGAGCCTCCGCCCAAGGGCCACTTCTCCAGTGCTGGGATTGCTGGGAACAGCGTGTTCTCTTGGCCTCTCAGCCAGCCCTGCCTGCCTCTTTCTAATTATAATCAAGCTTAATGATGATAATAGACAGTGGGAGCCCATCTTGTTTTGCCAACAATTAATTCTTGGTAGACTTGCCCCGCGCACATCCGCCAGCAGGATGGGAGGGCGGGAGGAAGAAGGCCTCTTTCCTTCATGTTAGCCCAGATTCCCTGCCGGTACTGGGGAGCCACGCAGAGGAGGGATGGGCATTAGACAGAGGGGTGCCTCTTGCTCTGATGGCTACTTGCCATGTGGCCTTGAGAAAGTTACTTGACCTCGCTAAGCCTCGGGCTTCTCATCTCGACAGTGAGTATAATCAAATGTTCCTTGAAGGCTGTTAGGAGGCCGGGAGGGGGAGATCGCCAATGTCAAGAGCAAGGCACACAGTAGGCCCTCAGTAAACAGCAGCTGCCCGCCTCCTCTCCATCTTGATAGAACCAGCATGTTGAATGGGCTGGGCACACTTTGCACAGGGCTTTTCAAACCTTTTCGCTTGGAATTCCAAAGCAGCTGATGTGGCTGGACAGAGAGGGCGTGTCCACGTTACAGATGGGGAAACTGAGGCGAGTGAGGAGGCAGGCTTATGCAGCGAATTTATGGCACCCCTGGATCCCACACATAGGCCCTCAGCCTTCTGTGCCCACTGCGCAGTGCAAATCCACAGACACTACTGTTCTTGGCAAATTATTAGACATACTCCAGTGACATTTTTGGAGGCTATTAGTGGGCATGCATGTGGCAAGAGTCTGAGTGACTGTGCCTGTCCCACCACTAGCGAGAAATGACTGGGTTCCCTGTATATTGACAAAGGCCATTTAGGGCGAGAACTGGGGGTGCTGGTAGCTAAGTCTCCACAAGCTACATCAGCAAGGCTGGTGGTTCTCAGAGCAGGTCTGGGGTCTGAGCCACCCTGATCCTTAGCCCCACCCATGGGTCTCATCCGGCAGGTCTGAGGTAGGGCCCAGAATCCAAGTGTCAGCAGCTGCCCAGGTGACTCAGGCCCAGAGAGGACGGGATGGTCTTGCCCTCCCACAGCCCCGTGGTCCCAGGAGCCAGACGGGTGGCTCGTTCACTGCCCCGTGGTCTCTGTGCCCACAGCCGCATCGAGTGGGTGTGGCTGCACTGGAGCGAATACCTGCTGGCCCGAGATGAGTTCTACCGCTGGTTCCAGAAGATGATGGTGGTGCTGGAGCCCCCCGCGGAGCTGCAGCTGGGCCTGAAGGAGAAGCAGTGGCAGCTGAGCCACGCCCAGGTGCTGCTGCAGAACGTGGACAACCAGGCCGTGCTCCTGGACCGGCTGCTGGAGGAGGCGGCCTCCCTGTTCAACAGGATCGGGGACCCCAGCGTGGATGAAGATGCCCAGAAGAGGATGAAGGCCGAGTACGACGCCGTGAAGGCCAGAGCCCGGGTGCGTGAGCCGCGGTGGGCTGCTTTCACCCATCCACCCATCCATTTTCCCGCCTCGTCTCCCCATCCAGCCACCCGTTTGCTAACTAATCATCTATCCATCCGTCTGCTGTCCACCCACCCAACACGCACCCACCAACATTCATCCGTCTACCTGCCTCCCTACCCGCTCACCCATTTATGCCCCCACTAAACTACCAAATCTCCCGCCTCTCCATCCATTCACCGCCGCAGTCATCCGCTTACCTACCCCGCCATCTGTCCAGCTACCCACCCTCCCTTACATCTGTCTACCCCCTGCTGGCCCATCCGCCTTCCCACAGCCTAACTAACCTCCTATCCATCTAGACAGCCACCACTTAATCACCCACCCAGCCCCCATCTACTCGTCCACCTACCCATCAACCAGCCCGCCTCTAGCGACTCACTACCTAACTACCCACCCACCAATTTTCCATCTACCCATCGACCTACCCCTCCACCACCCACCCTTTACATACTATCCATACACCCAGGTCCCTCAGTGCTGTGTACACAGTGGGCGCTTAATGCCTGTGTGGTTGACACCCCCAGAGGGAGATTCTGGAGCAGGACACCTGGCCCAGCTGGTGGGGGAGCGGGGTGCGAGCAAGAGCTCACCGTGGAACCAAAGCATTTGAAAGTCAAGAAGAGACGGAGCGGGCTGGCAGCCTTGCTTACTTTGCTTGAGCGGTTTCAGTCCAGCGATCCCGTTCCCTGAAGGGCGGGGGATAGGAGCGCCCTCTTTGCCCCGCTTCCCCTCGAAGGGGGCGCGTGTGTCCCGCATCTGGGCATGCGTCAAAGCCGCCCTGCAGCCCGGGCCAGCGCATATCCTCGCCACCCGTGTGAGTCGGTCGGGTTTTGACATTCCCAACAACTCTGCCGGCCACAGATGGTTTAATTGTTTGGTCTAAGGAGGGAGGTTGTGCACTCTCCCATTTGTCACCCCTGTCACCCGCCGTTGCAGCCACAGCCCGGCAGCGGCTGGACCATGCTCTGTGATCGCTATGCCTGGCACGGAGCTTGCCTGGATGGCTGCCCTGCTTGGCCACGGGCCTGTCCGGCGCCTGCTCCCTATCACCGAGGCTTTATTTACTCTGGGTGTCCCCGGTGCCAGCACCTCATCGCTCACACACACGGAGCCACCGGCCGGCCCGCTCATTGGAGAGGTTGCTTTACTACAACATCTGTAACCATCAGAGTTGCCCGGAGCACTTACTCTCTGCTCGGTGCTCCTGACCCACTTTGTTTCATAAATGAGCCTTTCCTGTGGGTGGAGGAAGCCGTGGATGGATGCAGATAATCCCGTAGGAAGGGGGCGCCAGCCAGGGCAGCATGGAGGAGTGGCCACTGTCCCTTGGTCCACTTTTGGAATTGAAACAGGCGTGTTTTCGTCCGCTGTGTGCTCCTGTTGAAGTCCCGAGCTTCACTTCCACCAGTGAGAGGGTCCTTGGCTCTTCCTGAAGGACTTGGTCCTGGACCTCAGTTTCCCAGTCTCTAAAATGGGGATATTTTCTCCTACCCACAGTGGTTGTAGCAAAGGCGTAAATTAATTAATGCGTGTTTCTAGATTTGGCGAGGAGCTTCTCCAATGGCGGGGCAGGCGTATGCAAATAGCACGGAAGTGTTTGAGCCTGGGTCTGCCCACGTCTTCCAGTTGAGAACGTCCGACTTTGTTTCCTACGTGCTCCTGGACATGGCCAGCTCCACGCTGAGAGGCGAAGTCGGCAAACTGCGGCCCACGGGCCAAATCCTGCCACCTCTTGATTTTACATGGCCTGTGAGCTAAAAATGGTTTTTATATATTTGACTGATTGTGGGGAAGATACAACCAGACTATTCCATGACGTGTGAGAATATGAAATGAAAATATCAGCTTTATTGGAGTGCGCCCAACCTTGGTGGGTCCGCCTGGGGCTGCTGTCTGAGCTGCTACAGCAGGAGCAGCTCATGGGAGGCGGAGCCGCTGCAACAGAAGCCACAGGGCGGCAAAGCAGGACCGTCAGTTGGCCAGCCCCGGGTCTAGAGCCATGACTTGGAGTCCAACACAGGCCGGTTCAAATCCTGTCTCCAAGGCCCTGAGAGAGTTGTGTCACCTCCCAGCATCGATTGGACATTTGCATAATGGGAAGGTTTTGTGGTTGTGGCGAAGGTTACATAAGATAGTGCTTGTCCAGGCCCGTTGGTGCCTAAGAGTTTATTACATGCGCATTAAATGGAAGTCCTCCCCGTCCCTTTCCCTGACTCTCCTTGGAAAATCCCGCTGGCAGACACTCCATGTGTGTCCTTCCTGCCGTTCAGGAACGTCCACAGAGCCTGCCCTGAGCTGGACCGGAGACGAAACCAGCTCAGGCAGCCTGTCTGGGGGGAGCTCTCGGTTCCCCCGCGGGAGCCACAGCGGAGGGAAGGCCGTTCGTTCAGCCTGGGGCAGCGGGCGAGTCCTCAGGAAAGGCGGTGCTGGAGGGTAGGGTAGCACTGCGGAGCGCAGAGGTGACATTAAACAGTGGCTCAAGGTTATTTAGCACTCACTAGGCTGCCTGGGGCTGTTCCTGGGTTATGCGAGCTCTGACTTATTTAGTCCACTGCACCCCAGTGAGGCAGGTACTGTTATTAACACACCGTAGAGATGGGGAGACGCGGGCACAGAGGGGTCAGTTATGTGCCCAAGGTGGGCCAGGGTTCAAGTCCCAGGCAGTAGGCTCCCAAGCCCAGGGTCTGGATCGCTGGGCCTCAGGGCCCAATCATGGGGTCTGCCCTTGACCTCCAGGCTGTGGCCCTTGGACCTGAGCCTGGGGTCAGTGGGGAGCCATGGAGGGCTTTAAAGAGATGGTGCTGTGATCAGGGGTGTATTTGGAAAAACATGAGTCCCTAGGCACTTATATTAGGTCTTATATCAGGAACGCTGTTACTTTCCCGAAGGTCAGTCACCCTCATAGTACCATCTTGTCCCTGTGTGGTTGGAACTTCAGTGGGATTGTCTGAAAACAGAGATGACTCCAGCCCACACAGGTGACATCACCACACTCATGAGGAGATGGGGCAGCTTGCCATTTATTCTCATGCCCATAGACACCATTGTAATGGGGCAGAAACCCATGGGCCCAGTCTTACCTCCTGGGTTTGAATCTTGGTGCTTTCCCAGGCAGGTGATGACCTTGGGCAAGTCATTCGACCTCTCCGGGCCTCAGTATCCTTGTCTGTCAAACTGGATTAATGATACTGCATGCGACGGGGTGGCTGGGAGAATTCAGTGAGATGATAACGTCCATACAGCTGTTGAGGCAGCTCTGGCACTGTGGTGAGCTCTCGGACTATAACGTCAGGTAGCAGGAGGTGTTACCAGGCCCGTCGTGAGTGCCGTTCTCAGGACAGGGTAGGAAAGAAAGCCAGCTGTGTAGTTGACAGGCCCGGCACCGACACCGTTTGGTCTCCAAAGCCAAGAGTCTCTTGGCTTGTTGCTAATAAGGTGGAGAAGACGGTTCAGAATCTCTCTCTTTTTTTTTTTTTAAATATATCTTTATTGATTTCAAAGAGAGGAAAGAAGAGGGAGAGAGAGAGACAGAAACATCAATGATGAGAGAGTCATTGATCGAGCCCACAACCCGGGCATGTGCCCTGACCGGGAATCAAACCCCGATCTCCTGGATCCTAGGTCAATGTTCAACCGCTGAGCCACGCCTGGCTGGGCTCTCTCTCTTTTTTTAAATCCTCACCTGAGGATATTTTTTCCATTGCTTTTTCAGAGAGAGTGGAAAAGAGAGAGAGAGAAAGAAAGAGAGAGAAACATCGATGTGAGAGAGACACATCAATTGGTTGCCTCCTGCACACAGTCAGGGCCGGGGATCGAGCCTGCAACCGAGGCACGTGCCCTTGGCCAGAATCAAACCCGGGAGCCTGCAGTCCTCAGGCTGATGCTCTAACCACTGAGCCAAGCCGGCCAGGACTGGGATCTCTTTATTTCCAGCAAAGGGCTGAGGGTTGGTTGTATCCTGTACCCCTATGTGTGTGGGTGCTCACACACACAGACACCCTTATGGCCGTGCCTCTCCTCCCCTCCCACAGGACAGGGTGCGCCTGCTGGAGCAGGTGGCCCGGGAGCACGAGCATTTCCAGGCCCACGTGGACGAGTTCCAGCTGTGGCTGCAGGCGGTGGTGGAGAAGGTGAACGGCTGCATGGGGCGGAGCTGCAAGCTCACCACCAAGCGCCGTCTCTCTGCGCTGCAGGTAACCCGCTGTGTCTCCACCGAGGAGCCCCCGGGAGCCCGCACATGTGGCGGGTTCTATGGTAGAGTTTATTTAATAGGGTCCTGCTGGGCCAAAGGACATACAGACGCCCACGGCCCTCAGATCCCACGTGAGAAGTGTGGAATGTAGTGAATGCACCATGTTGGGGGCCTCGGCTGCCTTATGGAAACCCAAGGCCACAGCAGCATGGTCTAGACAGTGGGCCTCAAATGGGGGACATTTGGCAATGCCTGGAGACATCTTTGATTGTCACGACTGGGGGTGAAGGTGCTACTGGCATCTAGTGGGCAGGGACCAGAGATGCTGCTAAGCATCCTACAATGCCCACAGCACAGCCCTCACAACAGAGAACTGTCCGGCCTCAGATGCCAACAGAGCTGAGGGTAGGAAAGCCTGGTACAGGCATCAGGCCTGCAGGGGGCAAAGCTGGGTCCTCTCTCACCTTCCTCACTGGCCGTGACCTTGAACGAACTCCTGACTCCCTCTGTAAAGTGAGTGGGCGGATTGTTTTTAGTAATTCAAGAACCACTTTATAATGTTTGCTGCAGCTCTACAGCACCTGCACCATTTATTTAATATTTGTATTTAAATGGACTCACTTTTAAAAATAATCAATGAACTATGATCAGACAATTCTTATGTGACTTATATAAGGATGTTCATAGCAACCTTTTTCATAATAGCCCCGTACAGAAAACAACTCAGATTTTGTCAGCTGACTATTGGATAAACAGTCCAATAGAACATTTATCAATAGATAAATGTTCTATTGGACTGTTTATATATGAAGGGATAATCTTCACCATAAAAAGAGATGAAATGACATCCATGACAATATGGAAGACTCTAGAAAAACATTATGCTGAGTGAAAGAAGCCAGTTTCAAAGGGTAATATATTCTGTGATTTCAAATAAGTTCTAGAATCTTCTAGGATGTTAGAAATGCTCTGTTTTGGTAACAGTGTGGACTACATGAGCATGCATATTTCTCAAAAATATAAACAGTAACACCTAAGGTCTGTATCCTTTACTCCATGTAAATTACACTTCAATGAAAATGTTAAAAAAATATTTAAGGCATTTTCAAATAAAATAGGTTTAAAGGTGTTTATATAACAATTTTTGAAAAATTAAAAGCCGATGACTGTTGATTTAAAGAAGAAACTTGATCTCATTGTCATAAATGGATAATCAGTCTTCATTCATAATTAGGAGGTAACCATACAAAGTAATATCACGAAACAAAATGGGGGCCTTGGGTTCTATCTGGCTCCCCACTGTGGCTGCAGAAGACTGTGCCTGAGGCCGCCTCGGTCTTTGTTTAAAAGGCAGAATAACAAATGTCAGAGTGTTAGGCAGAGGATCACCCCCCAGAGTCCTGCTCCTTGACTCAGTGCAATGACCAGTGAAAGCTGTAGGCGGGGAATTACCTCCCCATGTTGTGAGTCAGGGTGATTAAGGCAGACAGTCCACCCCTTGGAAAGGGGCCTCTGGCTCTCACCCCAGGATCTAGGAATCAGTGCTGAGCAGGACATTCCCCTCATTTGTTTTCCTTCCACTCTCCCCTGTAGGACATCGCCAAAGAGTTCCCCAGGGGTGAGGAGTCTTTGAAGAGACTGGAGGAAGAGGCTATGGGGGTCATCCAAAATACCTCTCCTTTGGGTGCAGAGAAGATCACTGAAGAACTGGAAGAGATGCAGAAAGTTCTGGAGAAACTTCGAGCCCTCTGGGAGGAAGAAGAGGGGCGGCTCCGGGGCCTGCTCAAGTCCAAGGGAGCCTTTGAGCGGCAGAGGAAGCAGCTGGAGGCCGAGCTGGGAGAGTTCAGGAAGGGCCTGCAGAGGCTGGCCGAGGAGGGCCTGGAGCCCGCTGCGAAGGCAGGCACTGAGGACGAGCTGGTGGCCCGCTGGAGACTCCACTCGGTAAGCAACGTTTGGCCAAGCCACAGCAGTGTAGGTGGCATATGCCCCTTGGGGTGTTGCCACCTGGAGCTCCTCTGTGTGGTGGGAGTATCTGGTGAGCCTTAAGCACACTTACTCTGCTTTTCCTGGATCTTTGGGTGTTACCTTGGTTGAGTGTTTGCACCCATTTTCCAGACAAGGAGACTGAGGCCTGGAGAAATTTTTTTTTTTTTAACTACAACATCCCTAGGATCACATGATGAGTCAGTGGGTAAATAAGACCAGAGGTGGATTGTCTCCAGGTCTCCCGCTTGCCTGGTGGTGGGATGTGGGATGGGCTTCCTGAGCACAGAGCAGAGAGTGTTACATCAGAGGGAAAGCTCTTAGTGTGAAGACGATGCCCAACAAACACACTGGGACCTCTGGGGAGGCCAAGCAGACATGCCCATCCTGGAGAGGGTGGAGTGGGTTCCAACCCAGACATGACTGCCAGTCAAAGCACCCTCCCTCCCCCCACCCCCATTTGCACACACACAGGAGGTTTGACTTGTGGACAGAGAGATTTTTAAAACAAAGGTTAACACCCCCCACCACGCCTATCATTATTTATTAACTCAATGGGCTCACTCAGTGTCAGTTCCAGGAGGGGAAATATTGGAAAGAAACCACCCAGACCCACGTCCGCTCTGCATGGTGGTTCTATTTTTTCTCTTCGAATGTTTGCCCACATGCAAAACTTTTTTTGTGTAGGTAGGAGCAAGGCACACGCGTACCCTTTAGGGCCCACTCCCCCTGGCCTGTGAGGCAGATCCCCTGCCCTGATGACCTTCGTGCCCAGGGAACCACTCTCCCTTCAGCACCGTCGGCCTTGGCAGCGGTGCAGGTGCGGTGCAGTGGTTCAGGGCGGGGACTTGGGGATCACTGTGCTGGGTGCAAGTCCTGGTTCCTCTCCTTGCCAACTGGATGTCATTGGGAGAATTACTTGCATCTCAATTAAATGTGAGATGGGGGTATTGATAATAGGACCCCCCCTACACAATTCTTTATGAACATGTGAAAACAAAACATGCTTAGAATAGCACCGGCCAGAAGGTCAGCGATCAAAGCTTTTACCGTGAGTTCCAGAGAAGGAGAGGTCAAAGGGCATATCGTGGGAGGGAGAGTGTGGAAAGCCCTGCCATGCCCCTGTCACCACAGCCAGGTGCCTCTCCTGAAGCGAGAGGCTGACCACATCCCTCAGGCTCCCTGCCACACCTGATTCAGGTGTCACCTCAACTCCGATCAAGTCATGGCTAACCGGAAATCAATAAAAGGAAATTCCAGAATGTAATACTAGAGACTTTTGTCCTTAGACCAGCGCTCACGTACTTACTGTTTGCACTTCTTATGATATGTTCTGTAGCAAGGAGCAGCCACACCTGACCAGCTCAGCCCAGGTGTGCGCGGGGACCAGGCTGGGTGTGTGGCTGCAAGACAGCCGACCTGGTGTGGACTGGACCACCCCGGCCCAGCGGAGCAGGGGAAGGTTGAGGGCACTAATCCCACCTCACACTGAGAAAGAAGTGCGGACCGCTGCCCATCTTAGAGAAACTTGATGGCAGCAGGTGTGTCAGGGCCTTGGTGTAAAGAGCCACCTGTAAAGAATGCATCCTTGAGGGACAGGCTCACCTTCAGAAGGTCACAACGAGGTCATCACCTCCCCAGCATGTGCGTTCTGAGTGCTGCACAGCCCTGTGCTGGGGGGCACTACCAGGATCCCCTTTTATAGACCTGCAGACAGGCCCTGAGAGGTTCCACAGCATGCCCAGGGCAGCAGGGCAGGGCCGGGTCCAATGTATCAGAGTGCAGTCGAGGGGCACTGTCCTGGAGTGCTCCATGCAAATCTCCTCGGGCCTGCCAATGACAACTATAGGTCACTGTTCCCTTGGGCGCTGAAGAGGCAGGGACAGGGCCAGAGGGCCCGGCTCCAATGTCAGGTCGACCTTTTATGGGCCCTGCAGTGTCAGAAAACACTTAGACGGAGTTTCCTTGCATGTGAAACGGGGACACAGAGACTTACCTTCCAGAATCCTTGAGAGGCTAAACAAGTAGGACACACAGAGCCCTCAGCATGCTGTCAGTGTTCCTAGATATTAGTCATTTATATTACTAGGTGCTAGTGTTCACGACAACACCGTGAGGCAGGTGGTGGCAAGGGAAAAACCAGCTTGGCCAGGGAGGTGGGGAGAGCAGGGGCCGAGTCCCTGCCCTAGGTGACGGCTTTCTCCCTGGCTGGCCCACTCCCACCAGCCATGCTTATCCCCCTGAACACACACGCTGTCCTGTCCCAGAACCTCACCACCCCCCTGGGGGGTCATTTGTGCCGCAGGCCACGCGGGTGGCACTGGCCACGGAGGAGCCCCGGGTGGACCGGCTGCAGGCCCAGCTGAAGGAGCTCATTGTCCTCCCCCATGACCTGCAGCAGCTCCCGGACAGCGTCATCGCTGCCATCCAGGAGTTCCAGAGGTATGGGGGTGAGGGCGGGACCCCGCGGCCTTCTCTCCCCATCTAACGCCATCTGCAGGAGGCGGCTTGCTTTCTCTTGCAACCTGGTAACTTAAATAATTCTTGCACCTCTCAGTGACTGGCTGTCACAGGGTCTTACTCGGTTTAGTGACTATCCCTTTTGACAGTATTTTATATTTCATTCCCCAAAAGAGGCCTAAGCTTTGGTTTTTTCCATGTTATGTGGCTCATTCACCCATTCCCATCAGTCTCCATTGCAGCTTAACACTGGAGCTGGTCCACGTGTGATTTCCCAAGGGGAGGACTTTCCCATAGACAAACCTCACGGCCCTGCCTGCTGGTGGTGCTGCGGGAAGCCTCCGAACCCGTCTCCACGCCAGCCTCAGCCCGCCCGTGGCCCACAGTCTTGGCACAGGGCTCCCCACTTTCCCTGCTCAGCGCGGTCCAGCAGATCAAACATCCCCGCTCTGTGGAACTAGACACAGTGTGCCCAGCCCCGCCTCTGCACATTTAGAGCAGTGGCCTGGATGCCCCCTGAATGCCAGCATGGGGGGTGGGGGTGGGGGTGGATGCTGACATCTTCTGTCACAAAGCCAGCCAGGGGACAGGGTGGCCCTCCAGCTGCTCTTGCTGAGGTACCTGGTGCTGCTTATCTATGACTGGGTGCTGGACATCGTATTTGAAAAATTATTCATATAAATTTTTTGGGCCTAGGACAATGGTCTCTTACTCAAGAAAGGATTTTGTTTGCTTCTGCGAGGTGCCCGGGGCAAGCAGTGCCTGTCGAGGGACTCTAATCCTCTTTAGAGCTAGATGCTCCCTGGTTGTGACACTGGGCTGCAAGTCTGTTTGGGGACTGGCTTATTTTTGGTGCACTTGCAGACCTCTGAGGCTCCAGCCACTCCCAGAAGCCCGTGCGATAGGAGAGGGACCATCCTGGGAGCAACACATGCTGGGCTCCCTGGGGGCCTGGGCAGAGGCCACACCCTGGACTGACCCACTCTCTCCTCTCCCGTTCTCCCGCAGCATGAAAGGAAAGAGTTCCAGGCTGCGCAATGCTGCGGGCGTGGAGCTGTGGCAGCGTTTCCAGCGGCCGCTGCAGGACCTGCAGCTGTGGAGGGCGCTGGCCCAGAGGCTCCTGGATGTCACCGCCAGCCTGCCAGACCTGCCCTCCATTCACACGTTCCTGCCCCAGATTGAGGTAACCGAGAGGGCTGACCCAGGAGGCTGGGGGAGGCCACCAGCCCACTGGCATTTCAGTCATTGTCACAGGGCAAGGCGTGGCCCTGGGGCCTCTGATATCCAGGTAGAGCTCATTGCACCGTGTCAGGCATGGGAGTCCTGTGCCCAGGAAATATCAACACCTGTTATTGGAGGCAAAGGTCCTCCTCAAAGGCAAAGCCTGGCACCTGGTGTGACCCTAGCACCCTGCACTGACCCTTCCACACCCTTTCCCTTCAGGATCCAACTGCAGAAAGAGTGAGGGTAGGCTGGGAATGTGGTCATGGCAGGCTTCCTGGGGGAGGTGGGGCCTAGGCTGTGCAGAGTTCAGGCTGTGTGAGAGCAGCTGCCCATTACAAGGAGACTTCTGAGTCCCCTTTAGGTCCCCTCTTTGCCTGGTGAGCTCCTACATATCATGACTCCATTCAGGCGCCACCTCTTCTGGGAAATTATTTGGGCCTAGGGCAATGGACTCTTACTCAAGAAAGGAATTCTCCCTGATTGTGCTCCCATAGACCCTCAGCCCCCTGAAAATGTCCCAAATACCACCTGGGATGTAGCCCACTGCTGTCGCTGAAAGGAGTCACTGCATAGCGGGTGAGACTGGTTTGGTTTGGGCTCAGCTGCAGTGGGGATGGTTGATTCTGGGGGAGGCTGAGGCCAGCAGGCAGTTGGGAGCTGTTGTGCTCCAGGTGGGAGAGGCTGAGGGTGCCCACGGTCACTGGCAGTGGGAATTGAGAGGAGACGAATTTCTGAGACGTGTAGGTGGTAGAATTCTTACTCGGACTTTGGTAATAAGATAATGTGGGAGGTGAGCGAGGAATCAAGTGGACGCTGAAATCCAGGGCCTCCCTAGTGCACTCCTGCCAGCCTGTTTCTCATGTTGGCCGCGGCCTCAGAACCCAGCCCAGAGGTGCAGCTGCCGGGCAATCACAGCAGAACAGGTGTCCTCGTGGCATGGGTTCGAGCTCTGGCCTGCCCCGGCCTGCCCTGCCCTGCCCCGGCCTGCACTGTGGTTAACAGGGGCTTGTCTCCGCAGGCGGCCCTGGCAGAAAGCTCCCGCCTGAAGCAGCAGCTGACCATGCTGCCGCTGAAGAAAGACCTGCTGGGCAGTGTCTTCGGCCAGGAGAGGTCCACTGCCCTCCTGGAGCAGGTGGCGAGTTCCGTGAGGGACAGAGACCTGCTACACAACAGCCTCCTGCAGAGGAAGAGCAAGCTGCAGGTGAGCCCCCTGCCGGCGGACGGGGCACCTTCCTGGGCGGGCAGCCCTGCATTCTGATCTGAGCTCCACCACGTGCCACTGTGTGGCCCTGGGCCATCCCTTTGCCCCACGATCTAAGGCTCCTCGTCTATACACTGGGAGGGATTATTGTGTGATCCTTTTAATTAGGCCACCTATCTGCCCCTGCCCCTGCCCTCACGTCCCCTCTCTACACTGCAGTCACTGAACTATATTCTGCAGAGGGCTGGGGGGTGTCCAATAAGAAAATGCAGAGAAAGAAATGTAAGCATTTAAGAACCGGTTAACTGGAAGCTGTTATCAGGGACACATTTCCAAATGATTACACTATGCTGCGGACAGTTTATTCTTTATGTTATAAGTGTTTGTTGAGCCTCTGATGATGATGATGGTGATAGCTGTGGTCTGTGGGGCACTGACGGGCTGGGCACTTGCTGAGAGCCGCACATCTGTGATCTCACTGATCCAATTAGCGGACACTCTAGGGTTTGCAGGACAGATGTTCTCTGCTGCAGCCCCTCACCTCTGCCACTGTGGCAAGAGAGCAGCTGCAAAGAAGTGGGCGTGGCTGTGTTCCATTAAAACTTTATTAACAAAAATGGGCCTCTAGGGGAATTTGGGGTGTGTGGTCTGCCAACCCCTGTTCTAGTGGGCAGAGCAGCTGTATGTGAGGATACTATGGTGACTCCAAGGGGGGTGTTGAACCCTCTCAAGAGCTCTGGGAAGGCTTCCTGGAGGCAGTGACGCCTGGACGAGCATGACCGGGCCAGCTGAAAGCTGGAGAAAGCAGCTGTGTTGTGAGGAAAGCTCTTCATTTGTGTGCCTCCCCTTCTGTGCCTCTCCAGAGCTTGCTTGCTCAGCACAAAGACTTCGGGGCTGCTTTCGAGCCCCTGCAGAGGACGCTCTCGGACCTCCAGATCAGGGTCCAAGCCGAGAATGAGCTTCAGCGGGACCTTCCTGGGAAACAGGCCCAGCTTTCAAGGTTGCAGGTAAGGGGTCTGTGGGGCCGAGTCGCTTCTTCTCAGGTGCTCAGCTGCACCTGGAAGCAGCCCCCCTCCCTACCAGTAACAGGCAAAGCCAAGGCAGCAGCCGGCCCCAGCCAGACCCTTGGACCCTCCCTGGAGACCTGACCTTTCATCTCGGCTGAATCTCTAGATTTGCTGATGGTTCAGGGCCTCAGCAGGGCCTCAGCACCTCCAGACTGCTGGTTCTCAAGCTCAAAAACATGCTAAGCTCTTTTTGCTTACTCCATGGTTCCAAAGTCCGACATTGATCTTGTGTTGAAAGTCAGTTTGCTAAGTGTTTCTAATGAGTCCGGAGGCCCTCAGTGAAGTAAACCTATCTGGTCCCTGAGAAGAAATGCTTTAGGGCACACGTGGACGGTGCTTCAGCTGCGCGTCGGTCCTTGTCGGCTGGATGAGGAGCTGGCTGGCTTTTAACAATGATCTTTTAAGGCCCAAGGGTAGCTCACATGTAAGTTGAGAGTGTTCTTTGGAAGATGTAAAAAATGGTGCATGTGGGGCTTTAAAACTAAAGCTGGGATGAGATTCCTCATAACGAGAGGTGGTCATCAAGTAAGAGTTTAGATGGGAGTGTCTCCCCCGGTTTAATCTCATGGTGTCTCAGAGCATTGTCGTCTCCTTAAAAAAACCTCTCACCAGTCCTGAGAGTGCGCCCGTCAGACAGCCATGTGGTGCAGCCGCTGGGGTTGGGGAGCCCCACCATCCGGGACCCTCCAGTGTCTCCCACTCAGAGTCCCCCCACCACGATCAGCACCCACGATGAGGGGCAGGAAGGACAGTCCCACTCATCGCTTCCTCCACTACAGGGGCTGCAGGAAGAGGGGCTGGACCTGGGGGTGCAGATGGAGGCCACCAGGCCTTTCATCCAGGGGAACCCTAACCACCAGCACAAAATGGACCAGCTTTCCGCCAACTACCAGGCCCTGCAGAGGTCTCTGGAGGTAAGGGGCCAACAGGGACCCATGCCCGGCAGACACTGGACCCTGGAACCTGACCCTCCGGGGCCTTTCCCCTCTTTCTCCCTTCATTCCTGCCAACTCTCCTTTCTCTCTCGCTTCTTTCCCTCCCTCGTTTACTTAGCAGATGGTTACTGAGCGCCTCCTGTATGCCAGGCTGTGTCCGGGCCCTAAGGATGGGGCAGCATGAACCAAGGGCCCTGTTCTCCCTGGGGTTGCGCTCGGGTGGGTAGATGAACCATTAGTCAGCAGCCAACAAGTAAATATACAGTTACCCCTGGGCTCAAGGGCCAAAGAGCTGGGCAGGCTGCTCAGATCCGAACAAAAGCCCAGCGGGCAGCAGGCCCATCACCTTTGCCTTTGCCACCTTTGGGAGGTTGGAAGGTGCATCCTGGTGGCCCTGAGCCTCGCCTGCAGTGCCCTCTAGTGGCCGCCTGGACCTTCCTGGTGTTCACATAGGCTTGACTCCCTTTTGAGCAGTGGGAATGGAAACTGAGGGTCCTTCAAAGTTCCCCTGAGGACAAGTTCCCAGGCAGGCTCCAGCCACCACCCGGACGCAGACTCAGATGGATTCCTGGGCCTGCATCTGTCACAGGTGCCCCAGGAGCGCAAAGCCAGCTCTCAGGCTGCCTCTCTTCAAGGAAACTCGGTCTAAGGCAGTTCCCCCCCCTACGGCCCCCGGCCCCCTCTATTTAATAACAAGCATTCCTAACATTCTCTTCGCAGTCCTGCAATTCATAGATAGTATAAGTAGCCACACCCTTTAAAATTTTAATATAATGCCCTTTCTATAGCAGAAAAGATAAATGAAAGGAAAGTAATTATAAAAAATAATGCCTTTCAAACTATCAGTGCTCCATGGTGGCTACCCAAAGGCAGGAGGAGGTGGTGACAATGCCCCCTCTCTGCGGGACAGCCTCAAATGTGAACAACCCGGAGTGCAGCCCTCCCTCAGTTTCAAAATAGCTGCATTCCTGGGAAGTTAATGTGTTTATGAAAACTGCCAACATTTCTGTGTTTGTGTGTTAATGAGTCAGATTCTAAGCTTAGGCCCCAATAAACATGTAGATATGGGTGGGGCATAAGAAAACCCTGTCCTCCCCCGAGCAGGATGGGTGTACCCCACACTCTCACTACATGTGCTGGCATCACCCCCATCCTATCATTAGCACAGTACCTGAAACCCCCATGAATTTTCAGGAAACACAGCTCTACCCGTCAAGACCCATTGGTCTGAGTGAGGGCCAAGGTCTATATGAATTCATTCATTCAGTTTAATAAATTAGCAGCTAGTGGTCCTGTTGAGGCAGGGGGAGTAGAGAAATAGGAATCTCTGTCCCTGCCCTTGAGGACCACGGAGCCCATAGATGCAGCAAACTTAAGCTTTAATGCCGACCGCCTATGAGGACCTGGACTGATCATTAGAATATTCCGAGCAAGCGTTCACCGAGCACCAGTCGGGGCTGCAATTCTGCCAGACTTCTTTATTGTTTAAATACTTCCCTACAGAAGTCCATTGCCCCTCTTTTATCATTTTGGTACTCAGTGCTTTTTTTTTGTTTTTCAAATGTTTTTATTGATTTCAGAGAGAGGAAGGGAGAGGGAGAGAGAGATAGAAACATCGATGGTGAGAGAGTCATTGATCGGCTGCCTCCTGCACACCCTGTGCTGGGGATTGAGCCCGCAACCTGGGCATGTGCCCTGACCGGGAATTGAACAGTGCTTTTTAAGTCTAAGACATTCTAGTCAGCCTTTCCCCTGCAGCCCAGGTGATTTGCCTGGCCCCATGGGGGGCATGTACCCCACTAAGCAATGGAGCCATTGAAGACATTGGGTCTGACATGGGTGCACAGGGCTCAGGAGGGGACGGTGTTAGGCAGAGTGCAGGGAAGTGGAGTTTTAGATCATTTTTCAGGCCCTCGTCAGTGGTTTGTTGAAGGTACACACAGTCACCCTCTCTGTCCNCAAAATAGCTGCATTCCTGGGAAGTTAATGTGTTTATGAAAACTGCCAACATTTCTGTGTTTGTGTGTTAATGAGTCAGATTCTAAGCTTAGGCCCCAATAAACATGTAGATATGGGTGGGGCATAAGAAAACCCTGTCCTCCCCCGAGCAGGATGGGTGTACCCCACACTCTCACTACATGTGCTGGCATCACCCCCATCCTATCATTAGCACAGTACCTGAAACCCCCATGAATTTTCAGGAAACACAGCTCTACCCGTCAAGACCCATTGGTCTGAGTGAGGGCCAAGGTCTATATGAATTCATTCATTCAGTTTAATAAATTAGCAGCTAGTGGTCCTGTTGAGGCAGGGGGAGTAGAGAAATAGGAATCTCTGTCCCTGCCCTTGAGGACCACGGAGCCCATAGATGCAGCAAACTTAAGCTTTAATGCCGACCGCCTATGAGGACCTGGACTGATCATTAGAATATTCCGAGCAAGCGTTCACCGAGCACCAGTCGGGGCTGCAATTCTGCCAGACTTCTTTATTGTTTAAATACTTCCCTACAGAAGTCCATTGCCCCTCTTTTATCATTTTGGTACTCAGTGCTTTTTTTTTGTTTTTCAAATTTTTTTATTGATTTCAGAGAGAGGAAGGGAGAGGGAGAGAGAGATAGAAACATCGATGGTGAGAGAGTCATTGATCGGCTGCCTCCTGCACACCCTGTGCTGGGGATTGAGCCCGCAACCCGGGCATGTGCCCTGACCGGGAATTGAACAGTGCTTTTTAAGTCTAAGACATTCTAGTCAGCCTTTCCCCTGCAGCCCAGGTGATTTGCCTGGCCCCATGGGGGGCATGTACCCCACTAAGCAATGGAGCCATTGAAGACATTGGGTCTGACATGGGTGCACAGGGCTCAGGAGGGGACGGTGTTAGGCAGAGTGCAGGGAAGTGGAGTTTTAGATCATTTTTCAGGCCCTCGTCAGTGGTTTGTTGAAGGTACACACAGTCACCCTCTCTGTCCCAGCTCCTGGTGGGCCTGGCACTCGCTGGTGTCAGCCAGTGTCTGTAGGATGCAGGAAGGCAGGGCCTGTGGTTACCCAGCAGAGAGTCACGAGGACCTGAGCCAGGGATCAGAGCATGAGAAGAGGTGACAGACCCTGGGGTCTGATTGGCCTGTGGTGGGCTGACAGGGAGGGTCCCAGGCTGGGTGACCAAGAGGACAGAGAATGTCTGCTCTGTTGGATACAGAGCCCACCTCTCGTGGAGACAGAGAAGAGCAAGGCGAGAACTGATCCATGACTGACCCAGGGAGGGCAATAAAAGCAAGACTATTTTTCTAAAACTTTTTACCAAAGTATAAGCATATACAGAAAAGTGAACATCTAAGTATGAAGCTTGATAATTTTAAAAAAATGGAACATGTCCATGTTACCAGCACCTGGATGACGACATGGAATAATACCAGCCCCGCCCCCCCAAGCTCCTCCTGCCCCTATAGTCACTGCCCACCACCCTTGATGGCTGGAGGTAACCCTGACTTGGCACTTGGAACAGGGTAGGCTGCGTTTGCCTGATGGCTGCTCAAGTTGAATCAGACAGAATGGTCTCTTAGGTTATGGCTTCTAGCGCTCGTGATGGCTGTAGATTCATCCGTGACGCTGCTTAGATGGTGGTGAAGGGCGCTCCTTCTCACTGCTGTAAAATATTGTTGGATGGCTGCACCTCAACGCATTTCTCGCTTCTGCTATCGATGGGCACTCGGGTGGTTTCCAGTTTGGGGCTGTTACAGGCAACACCACACACCTGTCTTTTGGTGAAGACGTGTTCGCATCGTCGGGCTTACACCCAGGGTGGAAGGGTTGGGTCACAGGGCGGCCCGTGTTCAGTGTTAGGTGATAGGCACCTACTGTTTTCACAAGTGGCTGTGCCAGTTCACACCCACACCAGTGGTGATGAGAGATCCGGTTGCTCCAGACTCAGGCATGAAAGCAAGACAGGCTCAGAGGCCCCTCCCACCAGAGTCTGTCCTGCCAGGGAGCGGGGAAGGCACCTCTCACAGAGCAGCGCTCCCGTTCCTGCTGGGGGGAGCCTGATTGGGAGCCCCGGGGGCCGTCACACCCCAGTGCCCAGGCAGGTCTGGCGGCCCTGCAGGGGGGGGACCCAGGGTCTCAGCCTCAGCCTGCACTCAGGGCCCCCGGGGCTGTGCCGCAGGACCTCGTGGATGGGTGCCAGCGGAGCATGCGGGAACACTGCACCTTCAGCCACGAGCTGCTGGAGCTGCAACAGTGGATAGCTGTGGTCACTCAGAAGCTGGAGTCGTACCTGGGGGACACGGGCCCGTGGGATGCCCAGGCCCGAGAGGCTGAAGTCCAGGTAAGATGGCTTTCCCTGCAGAGACGGTGCATCCCCAAAAGCAGGCTCGAGAGGCCAAAGCTCCCACACTGGGGAGCAGAGAACCCCCCAGGACCTCACTGTGTGTGCGTGTGCGTGTGTGTGTCCTTCAGCGGCTGCTGGCTGAATTCCCCGAGAAGGAGGCCCAGCTGTCCCTGACCGAAGCGCACGGCTGTCTGGTGATGGAGAAGTCCTCCCTAGAAGGGGCCGCTGTGGTCCAGGAGGAGCTGGGGGCGCTGGCGGAGTCGTGGCGGGCCCTGCGGCTGCTGGAGGAAAGCCTGCTGAGGTGAGGGGGCCTCCGGGCCCTAGCCTGGTCGGGGACATCACCCCTTCCCATCCAGGGGAGGGCTCAGTGGTGCCATGGAGCAGGGCTGGGGTTCTACTGTGTGGGGGATGTGGTCCAGGGGCCTGTGGGCATCTCCCGTCTGGCCCAGGTGGCCTTCTAGCAGGGGCGGTGGGAACAGGGAGATGTCCCCGCTCAGGAGTTAGCCTCCAGCCCCCTGGGGATTGGGCAGCACCTACATCACTGGATACCTGCCGAAAGATGCCCCAATTCTGTTACTTCTCTCGTGACTTGGTGAGTTCCAGTCACATCCTTCCCCACACTGACTGGGCCAAATTTGTCGTCCCAGCCTCATAAGGAACCGGCAGCTGCAGGGGACAGAAGTGGACTCAGGGAAGAAAATGATTTTCACCAATAACATCCCGAAGAGCGGGTTCCTCATCAACCCCACGGACCCCATCCCCAGGCGGCACCGTCAGGTGAGTGTCTGGTGNCATCCCGAAGAGCGGGTTCCTCATCAACCCCACGGACCCCATCCCCAGGCGGCACCGACAGGTGAGTGTCTGGTGGGGCTTCCAGATCCCAAATCGAGGGTGAGAGTCTCCAGCAACCCACCCCTGAACCGGGGGCCACACGCTCAGCTCAGAACTTGGCCTCATCCTGTCTCTGGTGGGCCGGCCCTGCTGTGCCATGAGCATTCCCTGTGCCACTGGACAGAGGGACTCAGAGGACCCCAGGCCCAGGCCCCTGGGGAAGGTCCTGGGCACCCCTTGGACGGACAGGCCCTCGAGCCTCAGAAACACCGCCCCCTGCAGAGGGGAGAGGGTGAGGGTTAAACGCTTCCAGCTGGCTCCAGGTGGCAAACTGAAATCAGAGAAGATGGGCATTTTTTTGTGCTCTAAGTTGTATTTTGTGGAAGGAACTAAGCTAACTGCACTGTATCATCCATCCTCTCCCCTGACCGCCTTTAAAGAGGAAGCACATGGAAAAGAAACTCCTTCAAAGCCCGCGTGCCACTCCATCCATCCTCCCGCTCCCACCCAGGAGGCACTTACGGATGCCGCCCGGCTCGGAGCCGGGCCTGGGCTGGGGCACAGCTGTGGGTGAGACAGACGCTTCCCCAGCCAGAGCCAGAGCCAGGACCCGGCGCAGGGCCCCTCGTAGTGTGACATGTACCCCACTCCCATTAAAGTGCAGGTTCTAGGTCGGTGGGTCTGGGGGGCCCACGAGTCTGCATCTCTTTTTTCTTTTTTAAAAAAAAAAATGTTTTTATTGATTTTTAGAGGGAGAGGAGAGGGAGAGAGATAGTAACATCAATGGGAGAGAATCAACATTGATCGGCTGCCTCCTGCACACCCCCTACCGGGGATCAAGCCCGAAACCCGGGCATGTGCCCTGATTGGGAATGGACCCGGTGACCTCTTGGCGCATGGGTCAACACTCAACCACTGCGCCACACCAGCTGGGCGTGAGTCTGCGTTTCTCCAAGGCCCGCTCCCTGCTGGGCCTCAGAGCACAGTTTGAGAGGCAAGGACGTGGGAACCACAGGCAATGAAAGGTTCCAGAAAGCGCGGTTCAGGATGGCAGAGGGGCCACATGCTATGGGATCCTGCTGCAGAGTGACCATGACCCAGTTCTGGGGTAGGGAAGCCCTCCCGGGAGAAAGGCAATGCGAGGGGAGCCCTCAGGCTGAGTGGGCGTCCAGGAGAGGAGTGGAGGGGGTGCGTTCCATGCAGAGGAGACGGGGTGTGCAAAGACCCCCGGGGAGAGCACAGTCCAGGGGCCGAGACGTGGCTGTGCACTCGGGCTCAGAGAATGGG